GGTAATATATCACATCTGCAAATCTTCTAAATTCAGCGAAAGCATTTTAGAGTCTCAATCCTAATCGAATGCCTCTGTAAATTCAGCTATTGAAGAAACATGTGGTTGCTAGTTCGATAGTCGATTTATTCATCTTGGCATGTATACAAAATCGAAAAAGTTGCTTCCATATTTAGATGAAGTTAACATCAGTGTATAGCAACAAAATGCGGTTTTATGGCATGAACATTATTTCTGACCAGCTAGTAAAGTTGTTCAAAAGTTTCCTACTTTCATATTTCTGTTTTCACTGGCTCAAGCAGTGAACGATTCGTAAGCTATAGTTATGTTTGTGCTCAACATAAAGAATGATGCTCAAAAGACATATGATTTATTGTATCAAAGTTTCATAACTAAGGGAATTTTACTTACAGGAACTTATTAGCTGTGGTATTCTCACTTTGAATTAAGTCAACTCAGCACGAGAAGACAGAGTTCTCAAACAATTTGCCCAAATCACTTTAAAGTTTAAAATCTGGGCACGAAGCTGTGAGCTCAGATAGGTCCAGANTTTCTGTTTTCACTGGCGAGCTCAAGCAGTGAACGATTCGTAAGCTATAGTTATGTTTGTGCTCAACATAAAGAATGATGCTCAAAAAACATATGATTTATTGTATCAAAGTTTCATAACTAAGGAAATTTTACTTACAGGAACTTATTAGCTGTGGTATTCTCACTTTGAATTAAGTCAACTCAGCATGAGAAGACAGAGTTCTCAAACAATTTGCCCAAATCACTTTAAAGTTTAAAATCTGGGCACGAAGCTGTGAGCTCAGATAGGTCCAGATTCGTTCCAACTAGTTCCAGTTAAAGAAGCTTTGTTATATTTAGAGAACTGATTTGCTTTTGTTTCAGTTTTTGTTATAGTTTTCATTCTAATGTGTTAATCTAATGAAAGACATGGACTGGAGAAAACTATCTTGAAGTTTATAAGCAAATATTACAATGATTATGAAAAATAATTCATTTACATGTTGTTTAACACGAAGTCGTATCATGCAGATTTAAACAGAAACCAAATGAGAGCAAATTACATCTTGATTCTCAAGACTTATTAGGTTCCTGATAAGATACCAGTCAAATGTAGCTGCAATTATGATTTGAATAAGATATTCTGGCTCACTGCTTTACCTTACGAGAGAGCAAGAAAGCGACCTTAGTTTACGAAGAGTGATAAAAACTGTTAAAGTAGAAATTCTTTTCACTTTCTCGACACCTTCGTTTCTTGCACAAAGAGTTAAAACTCTAAGACATGCTTAAGAAAATGTAATAAGATTTGCACGATCTTAAAATTTGCGTGCGAGAAAAGACGTCCCGTGGAGAAACGTAAAGAAAACTTTTGATAAACAAGTATTCAAAAAGCCATTTAGTCGAGATTGAAGACGACTTCGGCTTGCTTAACTCCGAAATGGAAACGAATTCTTTCCTCAGTTAGTACCCTAAGCGAACCTCCAATTCAGTTCTCCTTCTCTTGTAGACCTTTTTTTCCTCAGCTTAATGTCTGTACCAAAGTTATTTTTTTCGTGGTTTTACCCCTGGGGCGTTGAAACACTTAGTTCTCGGCATGAATTCCCGAACCCTGTTGTTTCTAAGTTTTGAAGAAATTTCTTATCGTGCTGTGAGTAAATCAAGGTTATACAACAATTTAGCTCTGCCGTTTGTCAGCAAATACCTTTCTTAAAAGGCTGTTTCTTCTTTCGAGACAAAGCTAGTAAGTTCAACATTTTCAGGCCGGTATGCAGAATATGTCAACCTAGATACAAATGATCGTGATAAGATCTACCGCTTTTAATCTGTAACACTGCTTTGAGAAGAGCCGAAAACTAGTCTAACTTGATTAGAACTATGATCAAAACCTCTGCATTTGAGCCCATGCAAGATCTTGGGGCACGTTGAACAATTAAAAGTAATCAAGGTAGATTTATAACCTATAAAAACAAACGTAGGCTTGATAACTTCATTTTCAACTTGCCCCAAGTTTACTGTGAAGAACAAATTTGCTAACCCCTTTGTTTGAATTGAAATTTTGGAACCCACACACACACATTATTGATTCAGCTCCCCACTTATGCATTCAGCTTTTGTCCAGACAAAATTGCGCACTTGTTGTAAACAAGATTGGCGTTTATTTACTCGATATTATATCTTTTAATCGTACAAAAGAAGTGTAAAGTACATTATTGACGGCTGTTATTTTTTGGTGTTTTTCAGGGATCCAGCACGAGTTCGTCTGGTGGCGAAAGCTCCTGCGACGAGGCCCGAATCCGAAAACCGAGACTTCGGACAGCTGAGCCTAGACTTCGGACCACAGCGTTAAACGAAAAACTCCGCGAAGATTGCCCGATCGGTGAACCGGCTAGCTCCGACTACAACTCGAGCACGGGCGAGGAGTCGTGCGATACTGTGATCTACGTGGGTCCCGACGGGGCTATTAGTGACCGCGAGCTCACAGACAACGAGGGCCCGCCAACGAGGCTCCCTATCAGGAAATCGAGCGTGTCCGACAGTACAAGGTCCCTGGTGCGGAAACTAGAATCGATTGAGAACGAAGAAGCGGAATTTAATGAAGAAGGCGAGGACTTGAAGCGTGAAGTCGAGGGAAGTGAGGACAGTGGTAGTCTTGCAGAGGAAAAAGCGCAAGAAAAGATACTTTCCGCTCGAGAAGAAGGAGAAGGAGAAGAGTTCAGCGAAAATTACACTGAGGAATCGTCTTACGAGACCGAAATTGAAATCCTACCCGACAGCCGGAAAGCAAGTAGGAAAAGACTTCTTGAAAATAAAGGAAGCTCGTCGAGTATTGCAGAAATCGCGGGGAAGGACAAAGCCAAAAGAAGTAAGACACACCAAAACGACATCGCTAGCCCTAAAGTAAAGGAGGTGACTGAAATTTCCGCTCCAGAGCTCAGCACACTTATTCTACCGTCTAGACTAGGTCCCAACTTAGACGTTGATGAAACGATGAATTCTCGACACAGCACTGTGGTAATTCCCGTACAGTCGTTTCCAGGCGAGGAAGCGAAGCTGAGAGCGCGGGTCATGAGCCCGGAGACATCAAGTGAATCGTCGGACGCGGAGAGCATTGTGATGGCCAAGGCGCCATCGTTTTCTTTCTTGACCTGTACCGCTGTGAACGACATCCACGCTGACTCCATGGACTCTCTTAACATGGAGCAGGACTTGCACGATTACGAGATGTCTCGACGAAATGGCGACGT